TGCCAAGTAAGTTTTTGGTTCATCAAGCAAAATTTCTTATATTTCAACGACAATTAATTTTATCATGCCTAGATCTATTTCTTTCATATGACAACAATTTCAAGTCACCTATAACCATTTACACTAATAACTTCTTCGAGCCTAATATTATAAATCTGTTATCATTAAATATATATTACCAGTGGTTATGCTACTGTTACAACTGAATAAATGAACGTTTTATATTTTTACAACTGAAAAATATAAAACAAAATTTATTTACATTATTTTAATTTAGCAAAGAATTTAGAACACAGTGCAAAGTTATTTGCATTGTGTTCTAAATTCTTTGCTAAATTAAGAAAGCCTTCAGGCACAATCTTAATGCACAAAAATAATAAATGCAGAATCTTGTATAAAAAATGAAGCAATGTCAGTCTAAAGTAATATATATGTATGTATATATATTAACTATACTATGTATGTATATATATTAACTATAACTAAATAAACTTACCTGTCAAAAATTACAGTCAGTTTTTCATGTTAAATACATAAAATATATATCTAATATAAAATTAAACAAAAAATTAAACTTACTCAAATCAGTAACAGTTCGACTGTCTAAATATTTTTATTATTAACCCTTCTATTTAAAAAATAAAAACAAATGATTTGAAGTAACTAAAAAGCACTTTAGCTCTTTCCAATTGCACTAAAAAATAAAATAAATCTTGCTTGCTAAGTTGATTAATTCTTAAGAATCTGATAATAAATAAGTAAAAAACCAAGAACAAACAAACATTTATTTACTACTCTATTTAAACTAATTAAAAACTAAAACTACTCTATTTAAACAAATTAAAGTATACAGAGAACAACATTGATACTCCTTGAAAGCTGAAAAACTTTTTATCTCAAATTTGCTTGTAGACCTTGCTTATGAAACCACTTGAATAAGAAAAGCATCAAAAAAGCCTAGAAGCTGGTATATGCTACATTGAATTTTAAATGTTGATTGGTGTAGATATTTTTAAAAAATTCAAAATGATTTGTTCTTCTATAGCAAATAAATACACCATAAATCTGAAGTTAAAAATGTAATGAATAAGCAAATACAAAGAAAAACATCATATGTGAATTAAAAATCAATGTACCTGATAGAGATAAGCTGCGGTGATACCTGAGTAGTATCACCACATACACGTATTTATCAAAAAAATTTTAACTTTGATCATAATATAAATGCAAACATATATGCAAACTTTTAACAACTATAAAAGAACATTTATTAGCATCAATTGTTTTTAATGTAACAAAGAATGCAGACTACAATGCACGACATTGTTAATAAAAATGAAGTTATGTCAGTCAGTATATATTTATCTAAAGTAGTGAAAAAGAATAAACCATTTAAAAACAAAATTAAAAATTTTTAATGAATATATATTTAGATACCTTAAAATGAAGCATAACACAACACTCTTTTGACAAATTCCAGAGCAAATTTTTAAAATTTTTCTATTCCTTATTATTTTATTCCTTATATCGATAAAATACATATTAAATGCCACATTCAACTAATGTAATTAGTACCTTTATTAGATCTCTCTTGATTAACTAAAGAATTTAAATTTTAAATAAACTCTAACTAAATTTTAACAAACAAACAACCAAAATAAATCTTCATATTAATAGTACGTTATTAAGTTGATTAATAGATCAAACAATTTAATCTACTCTAATAATCTACTACCTTATTAATAAACTTTAATTTTTTTTCTGTAACTATAATATAGATATTTTTAAAGTAAAAAAGAATTTAATATTATAATATATATGATTTTAAAAACCTGAAATTTTAAATCTACCTCGAAGAAAACAGATATATATTGAAAAGTATTTTTATTTCTTTTTAAAAATTTAAAAATGCTTTATAACTTACTTGTTTCGATATTATCACCAACGTCTAAATAGAAAAACAAACAAACATTCAAGTCGACTCATTCTTAAACCTTATAATATATATGATTTAAAAAACCTGAAATTTTAAATCTACCTCGAAGAAAACAGATATATATTAAAAAGTATTTTTATTTCTTTTTAAAAATTTAAAAATGCTTTATAACTTACTTGTTTCATATTATTACCAACGTCTAAATAGAAAAACAAAGATATATGAGTTATATATAGGATTTTAAAATATATATGATTTTAAAAAACTGAAACTTTAAATCTACCTCAAAGAAAACAAAGAAAAAATTTCTTTTTAAAAATTTAAAAATGCTTTTTAACTTACTTGCTTCAATATTGTCATCATCTAAATAGAAAAACAAACAAACATTTAAGTCGACTTATTCTTAAATCTAGTTTAATTTCTTCAATAATAAAAAAAATTTAATCTTTGAGGATTAAATTCATTTACAAAAATCCGTTTAAACCATTTTAACATTGTAAAGTTAATTTAAAGTTTTAAAAAACTGAAACTTTAATTCTACCTCAAAGAAAACAGATATATATTGAAAAGTATTTTTATTTCTTTTTAAAAATTTAAAAAGACTTCTAAACTTACTCCCTCCAATATAATTATATAATATATATAGTATATATGATAAATAAACCTCCACAATTTCCTTAGTTTAACAACTCGATTATGATTTATAACAACTATGTAAACATGAATTTTCTAATAACCTAAATAAATTACAGATAGACAAACATAAACTAACACAATTAAATCCTAAACCAAAATTCATTCATGCAAGACAAATAATTTTATATTTATTGAAGAGCCAGAAACATATTTTTTTTCAAAGAGCTAAAGTATTAACAATATTAAAGACAAATTTTATTTATAACAAAATTTTCAATAAAAATTAAATTAAGATAAATTTATAACAAAATGTTGTCATGGCTTTTATCCCAATAACTAAAACTAAGTGAAAGCATGAAACTACCCATAAATATATTTTAACGCTAGACACAAATTAAGAATTAAAGTAATCTATAACACGAAGCTTTAAATTTAAAATTACAATTTAAAAAAGATTACAATAAATTAATTACTTTTAAATTAAAAAAAAAATTTAGATTACCTATAATTTTAAGCTACTAAACATTATCTACTTAATGTCAACTTAGATATTTTGAACTCGTACCATGAAGGGTTGAAGGGAAATCTGTAAGTAAGCACGCGGTAAAGAAAAGTCTAGAAACTACTTAAAAAGTGTATTTTACAGATACAGAACCGTACCGTAACTATAAAACAATACGCGTAACTATGCGCATTAATATTCATAGGCTATTAATTATAGGCGATTATGCTAATCACAAACCACATAGTTGTCACTAACTGTTTTTTGAGTTTACCACAACATAATTACAAACAGATAGTATGTAGTTGGAATGTAGATTTAGATTTGTATGTTTTGCATATGTGGTTATGATTTGTGATTGAGTTTTCATTTTAGGATTCATATATAAATATATATATATATATATATATATATATATATATATATATATATATATATATATATATATATATATATATATATATATATATATATATATATATATATATATACATATATATATATATATATATATATATATATATATATATATATATATATATATATATATATATATATATATATATATATATATATATATATATACATTATTTCTAAACAATTTTCCTGCATCGTACATCATTTTTATATTATTGTTATATCATCCAAAACAAATTTTTAACCACTCATTTGGCTTTTATATGTTAAAGTTTTTAAATAATTTTTTATTTTGCAAGTGCTGGGCTGTGATGGAACTTATGTAAACACTAGAAGGAGTAGTGTTATAACATTTTTGGTAGTGTGATAAATTTTTAGGGTAGTTAGATAAATTTTTAACTGACTCTACATTGGGTTATTTGCTTCCTACATGCAAATAAGCTTCCATTACCATTTGTTTGAGGAGTTAGATGCTATCAAGGCTCTTTTGGAAAGTATCTTAAGAATTATGAGATCTTTAATGGTGTTGATTTTTATGATATAAACCATAATCTAGAAATACCAGAGAGGGCAAAGTGGCGCATGTTTTAGTAATATGGAGATGTGCCGCCTTGAAAAACTGGTTTGTTCTTGGTGGCTTTTCATTGCCAACTGGATCCTTAATTTATATTTTTCTACCAGCAATGCCACATAAAATCCCACATAAAGAAGATGTCCTCTTTCATTCATGGTCAAATCACAGTATCAGTTTAAGGTAATAGACTAAGTTTTTCAAACAAATGCATTTTTTGAGAGAGCAGACAGACAGTGAGCTAGACAAGATAAAAGTAAAGAAGCAAACCAATTGTGGGGTAGTTCAAAGCTTCTAGTCTAAATTAATTTGCAAACAATACATGGAGTAAATTAATTAGAGTAATTCACAGTAGGCCATGATGATCATGATTACTGATGAGCAAAAGAACAGCCGTGAAGCATGTGGTTAAAGTTTTAACTCACAACCCAGAGGTCCGAGGTTTGATGCCGGTTCTAGCCCAATAAGCGATATTGGTAAGGAAGGAGGCGTGAACTTCTAGTTAAATGCTCTTCTGTGGTGCTCTGTGATAAGACCATAAAGACTTTTTGGGAGCACCTAAATAACCTAAAAAAAAATATTGATAGAGGTAAAAGAGCATTGTGGATCTTTTGAAAAATTTAATGTCACATGCAAGTTTTTTTTTTTTTTTTTTTAATTTAATTCACCTCCTCAAGGCCGAGAAGGCCACTACAGACAAAGAGGCTACTTATTTGTGGCTATAGCCCTCTCTCAACTCTATAACTCTGAAACACGAACCTTGATAAACAAGGCCGCTGCGCGGAGAAACGAGTTGAGCGTGGTACTACCAGGGACGTAGTGGGGATCGAACTCGGAACCACTCGTTTATGAAGCGAGCGCTCTACCACTACACCACTACCGCATTTTTGTATAGCATTATGTAAAAATGGTTACAGCAGTTTCTGCTTTGGTTTTAGGCAAGATGGAAAGAAATAGTTTAATATGTTTCTATCTGCAATCTGGGAAGATTATGCCAATAGTTATTTATATTATTACAAATTAACAATATTAACACAAAGACACATTATAACACTCAATATGGAAAACATGCAAGGTATTCTATTAAAATGAATAAGAGTTTGTTGCAACAATCATTTATTTCATTATTTTTTGCTGTCTTATTTTTTTGTAAAAACCTCATAAATTAAAATTGTACATACCCCATTTTCAAAATTTATATATTGAGAGTAAATATGAATATTGATAGTAACTTAACATTAAATTGTTTTATACTTTTCTTTCCTTTTTTTTTAAATTTATCTAAAGACCTTGTGCCTGTTTCTATGTACAAGTTGCTTGAAATAACTAATAATAAGTAATTTTATATATACAGTTTTTCAGGATCTGCTGCATATTTTATTGGAACACTATTTAACATTAAAGTATGTAAGAATCAGCTAATTAATAATAATGGCGATGTTGTCAGCATATTTGTTGTAAATCTAAATGGATTATTATGATGGAATAATGAGGAAATCTTACTAAATGTTTCAACAATTATTAACTCATTGGTAAGTACGTTTTATAATTAATATTTTTATTGATATTGTTCCATATTAATTATAATAATCTTTTATCTCCTATATTAACTGTGATATTCTTTTATCTTGCATTATTTCGGAGATAAGGTTTCCCAAAACTCTAGGGTTTTTTGGTTCTGGGTACCCGTACTCGAACTCTGCGAGTCTGTAGCTAATTACCCAGAACTGATACCCGGTCTAAGACTCGGCGAGTCTTGTGATTTGAATTCCTGGCGTTGTTTTATACGCAGCGGGTTGTTTTGTGAATCCCTAACTTTTCTAGGCAGCTGTATCTGATGCTTAACAGCATGCTTAGATAGGGCTGTATTTGTATTATTATTAGGGAGGCCCATAGTCAAAAAATTTAATAAAATTGACCGTTGGGTCAAAATTGTCAATTAAAAATTTTTTGGGTAAACCTAATCCAGAAAGAGGCATTATATAATCAAAATATAAATTATATTATTCATTAATGTATTTTAAAACAATTTTTATTGTTTTTTCAATCATCATTGAAAAAGCTCCTTAAGATATTGGAAGTGCGCACTTAATAGAAAATATTAAATTTAAACATGAATTGACAATAGGCTGAAGCCTTTTAAACTAACTGTTAAAGATCTTAGCAGAAACGATGCTAATCTTGCAACATTCCAATTAGCAATTGGCTTTATGATAAGAATGTTAAAAGAATATAATGGTAATTTAAGTAGAGAGCTATTAATGATAAATAATAATTTAAGTAGAGAGCTATTAATGAAAAATAAATAACTCAAATAAATTGCCATTAAAACCAAGATTTAGAAGAGCTATTAGATTCTCTTGTAAATGGTACTATGCCAAAGAAAATACAAAAATTTACAGATTTATTGAAGAGATTATTTGATAGAAATGAAGAACAACAAAATACACATTATGAACAGGGACATTCATTTCAAAATAATGAAAATACTACAGTAAACGCATTAGCATCAACACTAGAGGAAAAACTTAATAAATTATTGTATATTAAACACTTATAAGTATTTAATTTATATGATATATTTTTTTAAAGTACTGTCAAGTCTATTTGGTAGTTTAACATAAGTATAATTATTTATTAGTATTTTTAAGTTAGGCTTTGAAACAAAAAATTGTTTTATTTACTGAAAAATTTACCAAATCTATTTTTTCAATTGGAGGGAACACGAAAAATCCAATCATTCTATTGTTAAAGTTGCAAGACAAAAAGACGTATTAGACTCGGACCTGATTTTGAACCCTATAAATATTTATAGGCTCAACTCAGGCTTGTTGGGTCTAAAAATGCCGGGTTTTCCCAAACCCTACAAAACTCTCCCATAAAAATAAAGGATGATAAGTTATTTTAATCAACGCTTTGAAACTTTTTCAAGTTGCTACATAAAGTTTGACAAAACAGATAGCTGATATAATAGATAACTGAATTAAATGATATATCCATTATGGTGCATTGTCTGGTACCATAGTTTGTAAGAAACCCAATCATTTCAAACTGCGGACTCATATTTTTATGTAAATTTAAATTTTAATTTGAGTTTTTTTTGTAGTGTTTTGCAATTTAAAAATGATTTGGTTGTACAATTGACACTTTCTTTTTTATTAGTTGTTTAATAAAAATTATTTTTTCATTAAACGAATCTTTTTAAGTCTTTGTATTTATGTCAAATTATAAATATGTTATGAAATATAAAAGTTATATAAATGTGAAATATTGCATATAATATATGCTTTATAGAATATATATATATATATATATATATATATATATATATATATATATATATATATATATATATATATATATATATATATACATATATATATATATATATATATATATATATATATATATATATATATATATATATACATATATATATATATATATGTATATATATATATATATATATACATATATATATATATATATATATCTATATATATATATATATATGTATATATATATATATATATATATATACATATATATATATATATATATATATATATATATATATATATATATATATATATATATATATATATATATATATATATATATATATATATATATATATATATACATATATATATATATATGTATATATAAAACTTTATTTGTTTTAAACAAATTTATTTTGTATTTACAAACTTTTTGCTAAAGTGGTTCTAAGTTTTATGGACTTAAGTTTTAAATGCCTGAATAAAAAAAGAATTTTTTGCTTCATTCTTTAATTTTATAGTATGTAGATTGTATGTATTATCATCTCTTCTTTTTTTTTATCAGATTGAAATCTAGTTTAGGATTTTTAATTGTACTGGATTTTTAATTATTCAGGATTTTCAATTGTTCAGGATTCTCAATTGTTCAGGGTTCTCAGTTGTTCAGGATTCTCAGTTTTATAGGATTCTCAATTATTCAGGATTTTCAATTGTTCTAAATTTTAATATAAAAATATATTTATACTTACAATTGTTAAAAACAATTTGCAAAATCTAAAAACCAAATGTATTATTTTATTTTTATTTCACAAAAATTTTTTTTAATAAAGAATTATAGAAATAATTATGATTCGCTGGATGTGGCAAAATAAACAAACTTCAATATCTTAAAAAAAAAATCAGGCATAAATAACCTCTGCTTATTTGAATCTTGTATTTAGTTTTTCAGATCATTAAATATTTTACATAGATAATGTTTTATTTTAACTTCTGATTTATTTTATAATGGAAGTTTTTAAAATAAGTAATTTCTAAAATCTAAATATATTTTTTTATTACAATTAATTTAATTCATTTTAAAAATCCTCAAAAAACCTCTCAATTTTGCATCAAAACACTTTTTTAAAATATCTATTTAAAAAAAAAGTAAAAAAGAAAACTACAAAAGCTAAATGTTTTCAATGTTATCAGGCGTCCATTCTGTCATTATTGCATTTTCCAAGAAAGGCTATATGTTATGTAGAATGGTTTTTTTTATTTTACTTTAAATTATTTTTATAGTAAGTAAATACCATATTTTGATTCGTAATCCTTTTATGAGCTAACAAATAAAAACTTTTAGAAATAAAAAAAATTAAAAAAGAGTTTATTAAATTAGAAATAATCTTAAAAAAGGTTATTTTAAACTTAAAATTGTTAATTTCAATAATATATTATATAAAAATTTTAATTTTATTAACATTATCAACATATGCAATTTGAATGAATAAATTTTTTAGTTAAAAATAATCATGCAAATAATTATACTTTTAATGATTTCTGGTAAATCATTATAATAAACATAATTCTTTGTTATTAAATATGTTCTAAACTGTACAAACAAGTTCTACTGTTTGTATAGTTTGGAAGTGGTTTATATAAGATACAGTGGTATAAAAGAGATTTAGTGGTTTACAAGAGATGTATTGGTATTTAAAAGAATTTTTGTTGTAGTATACAAAAGATGTAGGTGTTTACAAGAAAGATAGTGGTTTACAAGAAATGTAGTGGTTTACAAGGTGTTCGTTTTATATAACGTACCCTTGGTTGCAATTTGGGTTTGATTAGCAGAAATAATACAACCAGTTATTGAATAATACACAAACCGTTTATTGAATAATTCACATACTGTTTTTTTAATAATACACATATTAAACACACAAATAACACACATCACACACACAAAAAAACAGAAAAACAAAAACATTACCATTAAATTTTTATCTTTTCAAATATTTGTAATCTCAAAAGTATACTTTCACAAGTTTAATATTACCTTTTGCCAAATTTACCAGACCTATTTGCTCTACGTGAATTTAATTAAAATTAAAAAAACAAACAACCCAAATTGACTTCAAATTAATGTCTTTTAGAAAGATTCCAATTGTCACGTACTATACTTACACACAAGTTTAAATATTTGTCATGAATTCCAATTACCAATTGAACTATTTGTCACGAATTCCAATTACCAATAGAATTATTTGTCACAAGTTCCAATTACCAATTGAATTATTATATAATTAGTTGATATAAAGAATTCCAATTTCCAATTACCAATTAAATTATTTGTCACTAGTTCTAATTACCAATTAAAGTAATTGTCACAAATTCCAATTAACAATTGAATTATTTGTCACGAATTCCAATTACTAATGGAATTATTTGTTACGAATTCCAATTACCAATGGAAATTTTTTTACTAGTTTTAATTACTAATTAAACTATTATATAATAATTTAATTCATGAATTCCAATTAACAATTACCAATTGAATTATTTGTCACGAGTTCTAAATACCAATTGAATTATTTATCACTAAATCAAGTTTGAATCCTCTAACTATTCTTTTATATTCTATCGCTTGCACTTCACTTTTGGCCTCCAATTTCATTCAATTCACCTCTTTGCTAAATCGCTTGTTTCATTATTTTTTTTTATTATCATTTTTCTTCTTCCTGAGAGTGCACTATTTTTGATGTTGTTTTCTTACCAAATTGAACTCTTATTTTTCCTTAGTCAATATTGTTGTTGTTATTAGACAATATTGTTGTTATTGTTGTTGTTTTTAGTCAATATTGTTGTTATCATACTGACCTTTCTGGCTCTAAAGTTGATAACTTTTTTAATTTCTTAATCTCTTGCTCAAATAGTCAACTTTGTGACTTGTTTTCCATGGCAGCCCTAATTACTTAGGGTAACTCCATTTTAAACTGGGACAGTTGTTTCAGTCACCTCTCGGATTTTCGTTAAATTTTACCCAGTGTTACATAACAATGAAACATGAAAAAATGTAAAATTTGAGCTCCCAAATCTAAAGGGTTCAAAAGTTATGACACTTTGACATTCAGCCTAAAACGTTCCATTTTTTTTTAAGTCCGCCATTATGGGTTTTGTAGTTTTTCAGCCTAAAAAGTTGTACTATATAACAAATAATTTAAGATTTTGTGGATCAATGTGGCTAAAAAAGGTACCTACCTGTGGCTAAAAAT